GTGCAATTTATATTTTCGCAATAAATATTTCAATTAGATTATGGTTTTATTCTCGCTAAATTCAAATGTAAATCAATTAATAGCAATCTAGTCTCGCGAGATAAGCCCCAAAGTTCATTTATTCAATGCATTCTTGTGCGAGCATGTTACCCAGTGGATGAGACTGATTGATACGGTGAAAAATGAAAAAATAATTATTATTTTTAGTTTTTACATCTTTCGCCTTCTTTAATATATAAAAAAGTGGGTGTTAGGAAACGATCAAAGTGAAAGAGACTGTAAGGGTGGCTAACTTTGCTTTACTTTAACTCAATATAGAAAAGATAGAGCATTTATCGATTGAAGCGATTGAATGTTGAACTTACAAAGTAACACAACTATTGTGATAACAATGGTACATGCACGACGCCCATCGAATACTAATTCAAGACCCATCATTTTGATTCTTCGTTAGTTTAATCGGATAATTAGGGCATGATATAGGGGAAACCTTACTGTGGCCCTATCATTTTTCCTTTTTAATCTTTTTTCTTATTGTCGGGTTCTTCGAGAAGGAAATTGAATGGGACAGCATTCAAGGCACCGCAAAATCAATGTTCGGTGATTCTTGAATTTTATTACGAGCAACCAATTTTAAATGATTATGCGATCTTTGTTTGGCCCAGCTATCGTTTCGTATGGGGATCGATCTTCTTAGTTAAATCAAATTTCTTCTAAGACATAGTGATTATGTAGTTTTTACTCAGCTTCATATATCATAAAAACACATAGAGACGTGTAACGTGGTGTCTCTTTACGTTATTGAAGAACATAAAACTGGTAAAAACTATCTCTCGTTTGGTTTTCTTTCAATAACACGATAGCTTACTTTACCTCTAAGAGATTGACTGAAACTCCGTTTGTTTCACAGAGAAAATATTTTCCGAATTTTCTGCTATTTGACCCAAAGAAAATGAATAAATAAAGGAAAACAATTTCCGTCAACTGAAAAAAGTCCTTCGAACTATGGGAAAATGACTTCCGCTTTCTAAAAAACGGATATCATTTTCCCCACTTTCTAAGACAAAACCCTAGCTCCATTCCTCTCGTTGCATGCCTCCTCCTTCCTCCTCTATGTCTTCTCGCTCATCACTCTCTGCCAGCTACTCCTCCTTGTCGCCTCGTGCTTCTCTCCAGCGATCTCCTCAGCTCGAGAGGTGTCCACCTAGATAAGGCGAAGCCCCAGCTAGGCAACGAGGGCAGAGTCGACGATGCAGTCGGCGGAGCCGAGGCAAAGGACGAGTTGGTAGGGGCGGAGGCGGCGCTGGGTTTGCGCGAGAGAGGAAGGCGAGGACAGCAGAGGCAAAGTATAAGTGGTGCGGTCGGAGAAGGCGGAGCGGCTGAGGGGGACGTGCTCGACTGAGGCAACGCTAGTGAGGGAGGACTACTCGAGGGTGACGACAAGGGGAAGGGACGAGGGGTCAGGTTGGTGAGGCACCACCGCAAGGGAAGATCTGGCCATTATCACGGTGGTGGTGGTGGTTGGCAAGGGTGAGTGAAATTAGGGTTGAGTGCTTGCAGATGGTGGTGGTGGTGGTGGTTGTTCGAATCTTGTTCAACGCAAAAGCGATCAGGTGCATAGACTGTGGGTGTCGAGCTGCTTTGACGAAAAAATGTTTGCGAAAAAATAAAATAAAATAATTAATCCTTCATTTATGTATGTACACTTCTATGCATGGGGATGAGCTCTCAATGCAATAGAATCTGTTTTTTTAAGAAAAAAAATATTTTCCTTTTCAAACAATGGAAAATATTTTCCTTTTCATTTTTATGTCTCAACCAAATACTGGAAAATATGATTATTTTCCTAAAAAATGATTTCCTGAAAAAAAATTTCTAGAAATATCACATTTTTTGCGAAACAAACGGAACCTAAGTAGTTAGTTGTTTTTCTTTGATCCAACAAATTTCACATTCAAATCAAAGCGCCTCCCACCATAGAGTAACTTTGGGAGTCGCTTCCCATAGTTTCGTTAGTGGAAGGAAGCATTATTATACGCAATCGATCCACATGGATGGGGCAATTTGCGTGCATGTACAAAAATTAAGTGAGTTGAAAAGTTTGGATATCTTATATTATCTAAAGAAGAATTAGTGACTTGTTTCATTTCTGTATTTTTCTTCTATAGTTAATAATCCATTTTTTTCTCTTCTTGGCGGCGACAGGGTAATTTCCAAAAAAATAAGATCAAGATCCATGAATTAGTGCCTGGCACACGGCGTGGAGACCATGATAATAACTATACGATTTAGTATAATAGATTATTATTCTGATTCCAGCTTTTTTTTCAGATGTTAATTGTAATTGGACTTGGATTGGATGCACATCGGCTTTAATCTTTATTTATCCTAGCAATTCGATGCACATTTTTAGCCAGGACAAAAGAACATATTGTATAAATTAGTCATAGTCATAATTATCAGCATGCTCATCAATTAATTAATAATGAGAAAACTATAATTAATAATGCATATGCATCTAATATTTCTCAAATTTATCTATTATCATTTCAACACCGGGAAGAATTTCAATTACTTCGATTTCTTCATCATAAGGTTGGTCATTTTCTAGTCCAAAGGACATGTCATAGACATATTCTTTAAACTTTCACGAAGCACGATGATTAAACTTTGTACTACACAAAGGGGATAAAGAGAGTGCATTTTCAAATAATTATTAAATGGCGAACATTTTCAATGTATTTTCAAACGAAAAGAAACAAAAAGAAAAGATTCGTGCAATTCCAATGCACTTTAAAATAATTGTCAGGATAAAATAATTTCACTTTTCGGAAGCAATTTCACACAAATATGGGAAGCCACTTACAGCATAATCATGTTCGTTCTTTGACCCCACGTACAACAAAGTAATTGAGAACCGAAATTGACTTCATTGCACTTGGTCTTTGCACGATGACCCAAACCCTAATCAATGCATTAATCAAACATTATTCCAACAAATTGCTAATCTCCCACGACATTTTCAATCCCCTCGCAGACCCCATCTAATTCTAATCACAATGGCCACCTTTGAGTACGAACAAATCAAAAGATGAACATGAATCTACCATTTGAATGGTGGCAATGTCTGACCAAAAAAAAAAAACAGAATGGTGGCAATGAGATGACAATCGACGACTAAACTTCGGATATCCCCAATGGGCACGTGGCTCAATGTTAAGGAAATTGAATAGGGTGGAGATGTTTAGATTCGGACGTGGGATTCGACTCTTACACTCGGCAAAAAGGCAAATTAGTCTGAAAGAGAGAGGGAAGTTAGAGTAAAACGAACAAAAAAAAATGAGTTCATCGTACTTAGATAAGAGTATCGGGACAAATATATTTGCTCAAGCAATTTCCATATCGCGTCATCATCGTCGTGCTTATATTGTATTATTTTGAGAAAAATTTCTCATTATATTTTTTACAACTAGTACATTATGCACGTGCTTTCAAGATATATATATTATAATATTTTAATTATTTCGTTTCTCTGCATTTATTCCAAAAAAAACACAGCACATGCATGTCAAACATAAATACATAATGGCTATATTGACCCACCATGTCCTACAAACACTTTGCCAATTGGTCAACATGATCCATCGACACATTGGCAATAATGGACCCCTCCCAAAAAAACTCATTATTATCATAACGAAATTATCGATTTAGAGTTGAAAATTATTAAAAATTCCTTAATCACAGCTGAGATAGCAGATGTACTTTATTGTAATTATTGTTTAGATTTGGTTCTGCAAAAACCCAACAAAACTCCGGCAGTTGCATATAGCCTGACCCAACTGCTCCGAGCATTAATTTGTACCTTTCTCTGATAGCAATCAAATAAATAATGAACTAAACAAATTGTACTAGTTACTGCAAAAGTTTTGTGGGTTCTTGTCAGTGACATGTGCACTACATATTAACACGAACGTGGTGTAAATTCGGCGTAACAAAAGCATGTAATAAAGCCGACCATGGTGAGACGGTGGTTTAATTATCAAATTTGGTTAATTAAAACATTGCTTAACTCAATGACAGTCTCATTCAGACAGAGCACTTATCATGTGAAGTCCGCATAGCATGTTGTGAAGCTCCTATTTCTGATTTTAAGTTTGATATGATTGTGGTTGTTCCACCACCGTGGATAACCGGCCCGGGAAGTCGGCACAAGAAGTTGTGTTTTGTTTTTTTAATTAAGGAATGTATTATAGATCTATCTTTATTTATATTCTGGGTAGAAATTAGGTTACGGTCGAGAATTACTAAGTAAATTGAGAAAAGAGAGGGAGAGGGAGAGAGAGAGAGAGAGCGCCTCTTAGTTAGTTTAAGGGAATTAAGATTGTTTTAACTTGTGAGTAGTGTGCATTGGTTTAATTGTTAAGAAAAGTTTCTATATAGATAATTTTTTTAATCTAAATATTTCCATTTAGGGTCAAATGTGTGCTCAGAAGAGTTAAATTACTTCGACAAGTTTTTAAAACTTGGCAAAACCAAAGCTGCATTTGTAGTCAAAAACTATTATATGAATTCTTTATGAGAATTTCTTTGCATTAAAATTTGACAGAACGGATTGATTTGAATGAAGATGTATGCGGAAGCCCACAATGCAAAAAGTGCCCATACTTGCAAAATGCCCCGAAATTTAAAATATTTTTCTCGAAATTTTTTAAAGACTAACCCACAAAGGAAAAAGATTTGAAATTTAGATCGACGATTTGTCGGAATAATGTTCGTATAGGAAATTAAAAAGGAGATTAAAAAGGAAACAAATTATTTTGCATCATCAAATAATGAGTTCCAAAAAAGAAAAATAGGGACATTATGATCAAGAAAAAAACAAAGAGAACATTTTATTATGTATTGTATTGTATATACACAAAAATGAGAAAACCATCCCTCTCGATGGTTTTTTTTCCCATTATTCCCAACAAAAAGATATCGAAGAAACTCCCTATCAAAAAAAGGGGGGGACTATTTCATTCCTGCCCCATATTCTTTCGTTTTTCCCATTTTCGCCCCTATTTTCTCTCCTATTTACATTTCCAGCCCAGGGCCCTCCCGACCGTTACGACGACGACGACAAGGACAGATGCGGGTGCGCGCGCACCGCGACAGATACAGGTGCACGCTCCACGGTTCCGCCGCCGCATCTCCGCCGTCCGCTCCCTCCCTCCCGGGATCGTTGTTGCTCCCCCAGCAGGAGGACTCCGCGTCGTCGACCCCGCCGCCGCCGCCGCCGCGGGCGAGGAGGTGCTGGAGGGTGGAACGGAGGGAGTCGGCTTCGGCCTCGTTGTCCTGGGCGAGGCCCCGCCAGATGCGGTTCTCCGACAACAGGGAATTCACTTGCTCTTGGAGAAGCCTATTCAATTTCCCCATCTTCGCGATCTCTTCGTCCTTTTCCTTGATTTTTCTCGCCAAACCCTGCGTCCGTAAAGAAGTCAAGAACAAAGTTGTCAGAATACGACATTGTTAATCTTTTCTGGGTTTTGTTTCCCAGAACCAGTAATAAACCCTAATCAGTCCATCAAAGACTTGTCGAAACAACATAAACTGACGACGACGACGACGACAAGAAAAGGTAAAATTTGCAAAAAGGAAAGGAGGAAAAAAGGGTGATCACATACATGTTGGGAAATCAAACGGTCGATCTCCGATTCGTGCCCTTGGATCTCGAACGCATCCTGGTGCCCCAGAGACGGCGACGCCTTGCTCATCTTGGGAGGAACATGATTCACCGAGAAGAGATCGCCGCTCGAGTGATCGTCGCCGATCGCGTCTCTGGACCGCTTGCGGCGGTGTCTCCCGGGGACAGAGACGGAGGCGACGTTGAAATCGCGGGTCAATGATTTCGCCGCCCCAGAACTCGGGGATGATGCGGTATTTCCGGTGGCGGCGGCGCGACGGCCGCGAGATCTGGTCTGGCGGCGTGGTCTCCGGCAGATGGATGAAATCCTCCGCCGCCAAGCTAGGGTAGAAACAGGTCGCCATGAGAGGAGAGTCGTTTGCACAGAGAGAGAGTTTCAGACGAAGAAGAAGACAGAGAAAGGCGTGTGGCGTGCGCGTGAGGGAGTTTGGCCCTTTTTATCTTGGAGCGTTTCCGACCGTTGCGACGACGCGGGCAGGGAGGCGGTGACCGCCGGGCAGTCGGGGTTGCTCGGCACGCACGCCGGGCACGGCGGCGGCGGCACAGGTGGCTGCGCGCCGTGAAAATTAAATGTTTCTTTTTTTAACTTTTTGATCGACATTATTTTTTTTATTAATTCTTTTTTGGCACGTTCCCCACTGGTTAAAATTAAAGTGTACTACCACTATTATTATTCATGTACTTGTCAAGTACATCCTCGTTCAATACAAAAAAGTTAAATGGGGTCGTGAATAAGATTTATTTTTTATTTCTCGAATTCTTTTCGTCTGCAGAATTGACCAACATTTTATAAAAGACTCGATGTGTTTTGATTTGAATAATGATGATAAAGGGGCATGTTCCGATGTATGTGGGCTCTTACATAATTTTCAATCAACTTTTAAATATTCGGTGGGTCGGAGATTGTTTTTCAGAGAAAACATAAAAACATTTGTACACAAATAGTATCTCACAAATTTACAGCAAAGCGCATTCTTCATTAGAATACGAAGTTAGCGCGATAATTTAAATTTCACTCATGCTATCATCTCGATTAGTCAATGTGATAGCCGGAACCACAATTTATATATTTATTTTTTATAGGTGCAATTTATTTATCTTTTTTTGTAATGAATGTTTCAATTATGCAAACATATGGTTATAAAATCAATCAAAAGTCTTAAACCTATTATAATTATGCCAATTCACAAGATAAAACGAAGTTTGCATATGTGCTCATTCATCATTGACCGAAAACGACCACCAATCAAAAAGATCATTGAGCGATAGAAAAAGGGGACCGAGCGCCGGAAAGCGAGGATGCGAGGCAAACGGAGTGTCCAAAGCCGAGAACAAAGAAGAAGAGAAAGAGAAGATCGCACGGTTTACACAGAAGCTGCGTCGTTAAACACCATACTATGAGTTCAACTGCAGAAGCGCGAACGCTAGAAGAAGAAGTAAAGCTAGAGAGTAATGGCGCGAGCAAGAAGTAAAAGATCTATTCTGTCGAATTTTAATCCAGAGATATTTTCGTAAAGAATTCTTATAGTAGTTTTAGAACACTAAAAATGTGGCTTTGATTTTGTCAAATCTTAAAATGTGTCAAGTAATTTACTCTTTTAATCACGACTTTGTCGTCCGATTTCCCGGACTGGTTATTCACGGTGGTTGAACAATGTCTTAATTAACCAAATTAAATAATTAAAGCACCGTCCCGCTATAACCGGCTTTAATTACATCTTTTTTTTTTTTTCAAGAAGAAGGGGAAGGAAAGCTGATAAAATTAGCAGCTCTGGAGCTCTGACGGTAATTACCAAGGGACCATAGGTTGCGTCTCCTCCAACCGGCGAAGTCACGACGACGACGACGACAAGTTCTCTCCCTGGGACCACCTCCGCCCTCGGCCACCACATCGTCTCCCTCACCTCCACCACCTACGGCCTCCTCACCCTCGACCCACCCCTGCCCTCCGCTGCCGCCGCCGCCGCCGCCACCACGACGACGCCGCCGACTCCTCTGCCGCGGTTCACCCTCGATCCTTCTTCCCCTCCCTTCTCTCGAACCCCAAGTCCTTCCGATCCGAATCCAGGCCTCTATGGTCTGATCCGACCCGCCCCGAGATCATCAACTCCTGGGAGCTCATGGCCGGCCTAGACGCCGAAACCTCTCCTTGCTTTTTTCTATTTCTGGTCTTTCCTCAGGAATCGAGCGGCTCCTTTCTTCCTTCTTCTTGCCCTGTTTCTTTGACAAGAAAGTAAATGGAACTAGGCTTCCGACGGGTTCCGGCGAAATCGGCCGAGACGTGACTAGCAGGAGGGACCAAGGAGCCGCTGGAGAAGAGAGCGAGGGTTATTGGTTCAGTGCCAGTTAGGGTTTGAGAGGGGTGAGAAAGAAGAGAGATTTTAATTTAAGTTGGCTTTCGGTTCGAGTAACCGAACCGAACTGAAATAATCCAAATCGTAAAAGATACGACTAATTTTCCATAATCCGATCCGAAACCGAAATCAAATCGAAATGCATTAAATTTTCGGTTCGGATCGATTCGGTCGTATATCGGTTCGATTTTTTCGGTTTGGTTAGCACGCGCTAATTTTTAGAACACTAAAAATGTGGCTTTGATTTTGTCAGATCTTGAAATGTGTCAAGTAATTTACTCTTTTAAGTACGCATATTGACCCTAATGGAGATATCTAGATTAAAAAAATTATCAAAATAAAAACTTATCTTAACAAATAAACCAATGCACTACTCACGAGTTAGAACAATCTTAATTCCCCTAATATAACTAAGAGGCTATCTCTCTCTCAATATTTTTAGTAATTCTCATAACCTAATCTCTCGCCAGAGCATAAATAAAGTATTAAATCTATAATACTATCCTCAATTAAAAAAATAAAACACGGCAAGTGTTTTTGCACAAAACCCTAAACGAATCGTGCGATATGGACAATTTTTTTTTTGTCTCGACAAGAAGCTGTACTCTCTCTCTATTTGCATCGAAATATAATAATCGATTAGTTGTTTTTCCTAGTACTCTTATCCAAGTAAGATATTCCATGTTTAGTTGTCATCACATTGCCACCATTTAAAGTGGACATTCATACTTATCTCGATTTTGTTCGTATTCAAAGGTGGCATTGTTAATTAGAATTAGCTGGAGATGGAGATCTTGTGGTGGGAGATAAGCAAGTTGGATTAATGCGTTGATTAGGGTTTGCGCCATCGTGCAAAGACTAAGTGCAATTAAGTCAATTTTGATTCTTAATCAATTTTGTCAGGCGTGGGGTGGGGTCAGATAGCGACGTGATTCCGTTCTGGGTCGCTTTCCATGTTCGTGTGAATGGATTGAATACAAAATTATGCCTTTTTTACTTACCATCACGTCTTGGTTTTAGCTAATATGATGATAATGATGGCGATAAGGACGTTTCGTGGCCATTTACATAGTAAGAATGGCAAGCTTTGAACTTTACCAATTTCGATCATTATGTATTTGACATACGGAGTAAGGATAGATTATTATTCAGTATTACATTGAAGGAAGCATGATGATGATAATGACCATAACTAGTATACTTGTAACGAATTTACCCTCCGTTAAATTGGATTAATACCTCAAAAAATCACAAATTAGTAAATTTGTTACAAATGGTGGGGTAAAACCCTAAACTGGTATACCCATCAACTGTCACGTATCATTCAATTCAGCAATTTGACAGTAAAATTTAACGGAAACTAATAGAGGGTAAATTTGTCACAGGTGTACCGATTTGGGGTTTTTGGTGGTCAAAAATTAGTTTTTGGTAAATTTGTCAAGGTATACCAGTTTGTAATTTTTCGTGATATTAACCCTATAAAGAAAATATTTCTAAGACGAGGTGGTAGACACTCATTGAGGAGGACTTTCTCCTAAATCTTGCGAGACTTGATTGATTTTATAAACCATATATTTGCATAATTGAAACATTTATTACGAAAGGATAAACAAACCGCACTTGTAAAAAATAAATATATAAATCATGGTTACGGCAATCACCTTGGCTAATTGAGATGATACTGTGAGTGAAATTTGAATTATCGCGCTAACTCTGTAAATTTGTGAAATAGTATTTGTGTACACACATTTATATGTTTTTCTCTGAAAAATAATCTCCGACCCACCGAATATTTAAAAATTGATTGAAAATTATGCAAGAGCCCACATTCATCGGAACATGTCCCTTTATCATCATTATTCAAATCAAAACACGTCGACTGTTTTATAAAATGTTGGTCAGTTCTGCAGACGAAAAGAATTCGAGAAATAAAAAATAAATCTTATTCACAATGAACGAGGATGTACTTGACAAGTACTTGTACAATAATAATGATACACTTTAATTTTTTTTTTTTGGTAATCAGTGGGGGAATGTGCCAAAAAGAATTAATAAAAAAATAATGTTGATTAAAAAGTTTAAAAAAAAAAAAACGTTTAAGTTTCACGGCGCCCAGCCACCTGTGCTGCCGCCGTGCGCGGCGTGCGTGCCGAGCTACCCCGACTGCCAGGCGTACGGCCCGGCGGTCACCGCCTCCCCCCCCGCGTCGTCGCAACGGTCGGGAACGCTCCAAGATAAAAGGGCCAAACTCCCTCACGCGCACACCACTCGCCTCTCTCTCTCTCTTCTTCGTCTGAAACTCTCTCTCTCTGCAAACGACTCTCCTCTCATGGCGACCTGTTTCTACCCTAGCCTGGCGGCGGAGGATTTCATCCCTCTGCCGGAGACCACGCCGCCCGACCAGATCTCGCGGCCGTCGCGCCGCCGCCTCCGGAAATACCGCATCATCCCCGAGCTTTGCGCGGCGAAATCACTGACCCGCGACTTTAACGACGCCGCCGCCTCTGTCCCCGGGAACCACCACCGCAAGCGGTCCAGAGACGCCATCGGCGACGACCACTTGAGCGGCGATCGCTTCTCGGCGAATCGCGATCCTCGGAAGATGACCAAGGCGTCGCCGTCTCTGGGGCACGAATCGGAGATCGACCCTTTGATTTCCCAACATGTATGTAACGACCCTTCTTTCCTCCTTTCCTTTTTTAAATTTTACCAATTTTTTTTGTCGTCGTCGTCAGTTTATGTTGTTTCGACAAGCCTTCGATGGACTGATTAGGGTTTATGGCTTGTTCTGGGATTTCCAAAAGCAAAACCATGACAATTTTGTTCTTGACTTCTTTACAGACGCAGGATTTGGCGAGAAAAATCAAGGAAAAGGATGAAGAGATCGCGAAGATGGGGAAATTGAATCGGCTTCTCCAGGAGCAAGTGAATTCCCTGTTGTCGGAGAACCGCATCTGGCGGGGCCTCGCCCAGGACAACGAGGCCGAAGCCGACTCCCTCCGTTCCACCCTCCAGCACCTCCTCGCCCGCGGCGGCGGCGGCGGCGGCGGGGTCGACGACGCGGAGTCCTCCTGCTGCGGGAGCAGCAACGATCCCGGGAGGGAGGGAGCGGACGGCGGAGATGCGGCGGCGGAACCGTGGAGCGTGCACCTGTATCTGTCGCGGCGTGCGCGCACCCGCATCTGTCCTTGTCGTCGTCGTAACGGTCGGAAGGGCCCTGGGCTGGAAATGTAAAAAGGAGAGAAAATAGGGGCGAAAAGGGGAAAAAGGAAAGAATATGGATCGGGAATGAAATACTCCCCCCGTGTTTTTTGATAGGGAGATTCTTTTGATATCTTTTTAGTTGGAAATAATGGGGAAAAAACCATCGAGAGGGATGGTTTCTCATTTTTGTGTAAATACAATTCAATACAATACATAATAAATGTTGTCATTGTTTTCTTCTTGATCATAATGTTCCTATTTTTCTTTTTCGGAAATCATTAATTGATGGTGCAAAAAAATTTGTTGCCTTTCTAATCCCCTTTTTAATTTCCTTAATGTGCTCGAATATGAATATCAATCCAATCGTGTCGACATTAACAAAAATCTCTTTCTTTCGTGGGTTGTACTTCCAAAAAAATTTAGAGAAAAATGTTTTCTCTTACTCTATCATTCTTCAATTTCGTGGCCCGATAGGTCATTAACGCGAAACTCTAAAGAGAGTCATCTGAAATGCACAGATGAAATGTCTAAAAAATGGCGATTTTTCAATAAGTGACTATATGCTATAATCATTATCTCAATAATTTTCTAAATGGTATAGTAAATTGTTATTAATTCATAAAAAAAAAGTACAGCTGGTGTTTTTCTTCTTCTTTTTTCCTTTTTTCTTCCAAGTCAATGTTTTGCTTTTTGGATGGCTATGCAAAGGATAAACCATGTAAAAGGGAAAAAAAGGAATGGAAAAAAGATTTTAAAAAAAAAACAAGAAACGAAAAAGGCAAGGCATGATTCTGATTGTAGTTCCTCTCTTTGACGAACAAATCCCACTCAAACCCAAGTTTTAATGGGTGATAATTTATTTTAAATACTAAATATGTTAAATCAGCTTTTCAGACCTTTTACCATTCTTTACTGGCAAGAATCCTCCAACATACAATAAAATCCCAAAACGAGAATACCAAATAGGGAGAATAAAGGCACTGTATGCATTGAACCGAAAACGTACAATTAATAAAGTGACTCTTTTGTGATTAGGCATACTATTTCAAAAGGGCACAACTTTTCGTTATTTTATTTTTAAACAATAAATTTGGATTAAAAAAATAACAGCTAATTAATGCCAATTCTTGTCCTCGAGAACGGAAAGTGCGCCTAATAGTCGCGCACTTGCACATGGGTACTGCGAGATCTTAGTCCCATGGTCTAAGATCGTAAGGCTAGAAGACTTGCACAGTTATATATTGGCTCACAAACTCACACATCTTTTCCAGGTTGGACAAAACATCGGTGTGTTTGTTTTACAAACAAATTATCAGCAAAGCACTATCTAGTTAGAATATCCAAACTATGTTTTGAATTTCTTTGCCGTCAAATTCAAAGGCATGCGGATATTGGGCATGCCACTCTTTCGGGATTTCGTCTTCTAAGGCCTCATATCGAAATCTTTATTCTCTTATCCATCGTCAATCATTCGTCCGACCTCTACATAAGGAATACGATCATCACTTTCGATTAGCTAGTTATGAAATACTAGGATGCAATCGATCGATCTCGATCATTGGAATTTTTCGAGACCGTCGAAAAGTCAATTGCTCAATAGTATGAATTCCATTTCATTAAGAGCAAAAATTCCCTTTTATTTGTTTATTTTTGCTTCCTCTCCTCTCACGTACGCACGAACTCACGAAACATCAACGGTCCTTAATCTTGAAGACACACGCATCTGCCTTCAAAATAGGCGAGATGCTCCCCAGGAGGACAGATTCCCACACAAAGTTCTCCTGGTCCTGTACGAATGCCCTCTGTTGCAACGCTGTCACTTTGGCCATCTTTACTTGTTCCAGCATGCGAGACGACAAGACCTTTAAAGGAAGTGAAAACGTGGAGGAACTCAATGGTGCAGCTCTACGTTCAGAAATGTTAATAGAAATTGAGAGGTGAGAAGAAACCTACTGGATGCAATCACTAATAAAACGATCATTGCGCTAAGCTTGGCTTGACCCTTCTCCATTTCCAAGTATATTTGGCTTGATTGATTGTCTAGGGTATATGATTGTTAAAAATATGTGTTTATGTGTCCCAATGTAGGTTTATATATAAATGTCTAAAGTTCGGTGTTCTTGGAGTTTTAAGTAAATGCGAGATTCGAAAAAATAAAAAGTAATTGATTTGCCCCATATTCATATTCAGCTGCTGATACACTTACCGAGTTTTTTCTTTGTTACCTTTGTTTCGCGGGTCTCCATCAAAATACATGTTTGCTTTAATGTAAGACAATAAGTACTCGCGGTATACAACTGTATAATTCGGAGTTTTCCTACCATAATTTGAGCATTTCTTGGAATTGATAAGATGAACTTACTTCTTCTTTTTTTGGTAAGAAATGAGAGCAAAACCCTAGAGAGCTACACCATTACTCTCATAATAAAACTTAATCGTATATGAGCTCCTATCAACAAAGGAAGTAAATCTCTGGATATTCTATCTAATTCTAGAGTGTCATTTACATTGTCGAGCCTCGTCGATGGCCGGCGACCTCCGCCGACATTAGGCGAGGGCAACTCCGCCAGCCATCGACAAGGCCAGCCCTTCGCCGAATTGGGTGAGCGCGAGGGCGACCCTCGCTTGATCCGGCGAGGGCAGCCATCACTTAAGGCTGGCGGAGGGAAAAAGGAAAAAGAAAATAAGAGAAAAGGAAAAAAAGAAAAAGTAAAGAAGGAAAAAATAATATGAGTTTCAAAAAAATATTAAAATATTATTAAAAATTATCTACGTTAGCGTTGGTCGTGCCATGGCCAGCATCTATATTAGCGATTTCCAACCAAAATTGGTTGAGGGCGGCCCTCACCGGCGTCGAGTGAGGGCGAGGGTCGCCCTTGCCAGATCCGGCAAGGGCCGCCCTCGCTCGCCCAAGTGAGGCGACCCTCGCCGGCGTCGGGCGAGGGTCGCCCTCGCCGGGCGAGCGAGGGGGCCCTCGCCCGACTCAGCGAGGGTCGCCTCGCCTAGGCGAGCGAGGGCGCCTCGCGAATCGGCAAGGGCGACCCTCGCCGGTGCCGGCGAGGGTCGCCCTCGCTCGAGTCGAGCGACGGCCGCCCTCGCTCACCTAGGCGAGGGCGACCTGCTGACGCCACGCGAGGGCCCTCGCCGGAAAGAAAAAAAAAAAAAAAAAAAAAAGCAAAAAAGACGAAAATGCCCATAAACTAAAGTACATTGGGGTAAATATGTCACAAATAGCATAGTTTAGGGTTTTTGGTGTCACAAAAAAAAGTTCAGGTTAAATGTGTCACAGTCGGTAAAGTTTGGGATTTTTGGTGGCTTTTTCCCATAAGTTAAATCAATTTTTTTGAACCCTAATTGATAATTAAAGCACCGACCCACTATTATCGGCTTTTTATTACATGCTTTTGTTTCACGTAATTTACACCTTGTTCATGTTAAATATAGAGCGCACATGTCACTGACAAGAACCCACCGAACTTTTGCATTAATTAGTACAATTTGATTATTTATTTATTTGATTGCTATCTGAAAAAGTAACAAATCAATGCAGAACCAAACTCTGAAATAATGACAATACAGCACATCTGCTATCTTAGCTGTAATTAAGGAATATAAATAATTTTCACCTCTATATTGACAATTTCTTTGTGATAATACTGAAATTTTTTTTGGAATGGGTCCATAATTCCCATTGTTGCAGTGAATCTTGTTGACCAATTGGCAAAGTGTTTGTAGGATATGGTGGGTCAATAAAGCCATTATGATTTTTTGTTTGACAAGACATGTACTAATAATTAAAATACAGAGAAACAAAAAAAAGACAATACTACAAGGAAAATAAATTACATTCTATATCTTGAAAGCACAAATACAATGTGTTAGTTGTAAATAATATTATAAGAAATGTTTCTCATACTAATAGAATATAAATATAACAATGAAGATGTGATGTGCAAACAACTCAATAGCTTGAACAATCGCTCGAATAGGCTCGCAAGTTGCTCGAGTATTACATATTTCAAACTCTAGAAGAAATTTAATTCGATGGAAAGTGTTTTTGCACTAAACCCAAAACGGATCATGCTTCCTATATGGTTTTTATCTCAAAATGAAATTGTACTTGCTTTCACTTTGCTTGTATCGAAATATGATAAACAAATATTGCTTTTCCTAGTAATCTTGTCTAAGTACGAAATTTCGAGTTTGGTTGTCATCACATTGCCACCATTTAAAGGGTACATTCATATTTATCTTCATATGTTCGTATCCAAAGGTGGCCATTGTTAATTAGAATTGTGATGGGGTGCACGAAAGGTTGAAAAGGGACAATAGAGATTGGAGATTATTGTCGTGGGAGATAAGCAAGCTGGAAATATGATTGATTAATGCATTGCTTAGGGAAGTGCAATTAAGTCAATTTTGATTCTTAATTAATTTTGTCGGGTGTGGGGTCGACATGATTCTGCTCTAAGTTGCTTTTCATGTTTGTGCGAATGGATTGATCAGAAAACTTATGCCTTTTTACTTACTATCACGTTTGGATGTTAGCTTTACTACGATTGATAATGGTGACGATAACGACGTTTTGCGGCCATTTACATGGTAAGAACGACAAGCTCTGAACTTTACCGATTTCGATGATCATGTATTTGATTGATAGAGTAAGGATGGAATATTAAGCAACAGTTATGCCCAGTGCTGCATGATAATGCGGGATGGCGTCACCATCAATTAAATATATCTACTTTTTGTTTGATGCTTATTACATGATGATTAACGTAAAAACCCTAATACAGAAATCGCTTAAAGTATCCCGTTGGGAAGTAAAATATCGAATACAGGCCTATGCTGTATAATGATTCATCCTTTACGAGGGCCATTTTTTTGCATAAGAAGGTTTGCAATCAAAGCTCAGAATGCATTGAAAATGCTTCCGCATAGTGAAATTATTTTATCCTGACAATTATTTTAAAATGCATTGAAAATTCACGAATATTTTCTTTTTGTTTCTTTTCGTTTGAAAATACATTGAAAATGTACGCTATTTAATAATTATTTGAAAATGCAATCTCTTTATCCCCTTCGTGTAGTACAAAGTTTAATTATTGCGCTCCGTGAAAGTTACAGAATATGTCTATGACATGTCCTATGACTAGAAAATAATGAACCATATGATGAAAATAAATCAAATTAATTGAAATGTCAACCAAATTGAACGTCGAATTGACCAGTCAAACCACCCCC